ACCTCTCTTGGGCCCTTCTTGGGGCCGTGTTGGGGCTCTCTTGGGCCATCTTGGGCGCCTCTTGGGCCGTCTTGGGGCCCTCCTCGGCTTTCCTGGAGCCCTCTTGGGGGCCTCTTGGGGGCCTCGCCTTGGACGCTGTTAAGTGTACGAGCATGCTCAAAAAACATGTTTCCCTGAGGATTTTGATGATTCTTCTTGGGGCCCTCTCGGGAGTCGTCTTGGAGGTCTTTTTGGGGCATCTCTGAGGCCTCTTGGGCAGTCTTGGGGCCATCTCGGTCGTCTTTGAAGACTCCTCGGCGTGTGGGAGCCCGGCCTGAGCCAGCTTAGATGGTATCTTGGGCATCCGGGAGGCCATGAGGTGTAGATCTGGAGGCTCTGGAGGCCCCGGGGGTGCGTTGATATGCTCGTCCCTCCAACCCCCGCCCCCCCCCCCGGGGCCCCCCCCTGGTCCACCCCCCTCTGATCGGATGTCAGACCACAGGTGAGGAGGAAAGGGGGAGGGGAACAGCCAAACATGTCACACGCATTTGCACCCCCCGGCAAGCGCGCGGTCGGCGGATGTCGTTACGTCAGTGTGTGTGTGTGTGTTTTGTTTTCGTGATCTTGTGCATGTCAGCCACAGTTTAATGGACAGGGCAATGTTTGCAAGGCGACAGGCGGTTGGCCTCTCATGGTTGCCGAGGCAGCTCTTGAGAACCTGGCAGTTTTGAGGACGTGGCAGACACGATGACGAGCATCTGGTGCGGTCTTGCAGGGGATTGGTTGGTTCCCTGTTTTTCCAGCGACCTTCCTCGCCCTCCTGGCACTCCTTGCACTCATGATGTGAGGGCTCGAAGCGCACGCAGACATGCAACATCCTGAAACAACAGGATCATTGTTATTCTTAGTGTTATGATTATTATTAGAATTTTCGTATTATTATTGTATGTAATACCAATATTTCTAGTATTGTGATTCCTGTTTTTAGTATAAGTATTATTTCAATGTTTGACCTCTGGGACCTGGAAGCCCTCACCAGACCCTGGCACCGTCAAGCAGCGAGTGGGGCGGACAGCTTCGCCCTGGAGAAGGGGCCAGTGACTTCTGGGGAGCGCGCATGGGACACATCCAGGACGCCTCACGTCCAGCCAGCGTGCGTCCCTCTGCAGGGGGAATGTCCAAAACTAGCCAGCAAGAATAGACTGGGGACTGCTCGTTGATATTTTTGGGGCACCGTTTTTGGAGTATTTTTTGAGTATGTTTAATCTTTCATCCAAAACCCCCCTGGAGGGGAACAGGCCCGACCTGAGCCTAGCTTTAAATCGGGCCTGTCCCTCTACAGGAGGACTGTCCCCCCAAGAGTCAAGACATGGTCTGGGGACGATTTATCTGGAGAACTTGTTATGCAGTTGTGGGGGGCATTTTTGGGGCATGTTCCATTTTTTGCCGAAGCTCTGCCTGCAGGGGGCCACGCCCGACCTGGCATGGGACTCATCAGGACGTCCCGCGTCCAGCCGGCGTGCGGCCTGGCTGCGCTCGAAGCAGGAACAGCAGGGCACCGGAGGAGTCAGGGGGGGAAAAAACACAGACACAATTCATCGTCGATCCCAGGAAAATTTGGGAAAATATGGGAAGTGGGGGGGGGGGAAGACAAGAACCCAGAAAATATGGAAGAACATGGGGAATCCTGTTATTTGTGTGTGCATTTATTCGTGTGTCCTGGGGCCCCTTCGAGGAGGCACGGCAGCTCTCCAGGAGCACGGGGGGGGGCCCCGCTCGGGCGCGGCCCGGGGGGCCTTCGACGATCTGCTCTCTCTCTCTCTCTCTGCCTGCGGCGCCTGCCCGGCATGGCTCTCGACCCCCGCTCGGGACCCGCTCCTCGCCGCGGGTCGCTGCCCGACTTACCACCCTGGGACATATCCCTGTCCCTGTGCTGGGCACCTCCTCATCACGACGCCAATCTTAGGGACTCCCTTTTTTTTGAGGGCGCATCCCCAAGATTGTCATCGCCTTGTGGCGTGTCGATCTTAGGGATAGGGATACGTTCGTTCGATGCTCGTTTTGGGGACCTTCCTGGGGCCCACCTAATGGATCTGTTCGACTCAGGTTCGACTCAAGTTCGACTCAGGTTCGACTCAAGTTCGACTCAGGTTCGACTCAGGTTCGACGCACGAGTGGAGCGAGTGGCTGGTAACCGATGGCCTCTGGCCACGCAGCCGGCGGGCTCCAGAGGGCCCAGCTCGGGGGAGCGGGCCGACGCCCCTGCGCCGGAGCTATTATCCCGGCCCCGGGCCCGTCCCGGAGCACTGTCGCGAGGTGGCTCGAGGGCAGACCGGCAGGCTCCGCCGCGGCGACGAAGGGGGCCCCGCGAAGGCCCGGAGTAGGGTTGGGAGGAGGAGGAGGAGGAGGAGGAGGAGGAGGAGGAGGAGGAGGAGGAGGAGGAGGAGGAGGAGGAGGGGGAGGAGGAGGGGGAGGAGAGGAGGAGGAGGACGAGGAGGAGTTGGAGGAGGAGGAGGAGGAGGAGGAGGAGGAGGAGGAGAGGGAAGAGGATGAGGCTCGCCGCACTGCTACCACACCCGTCGCCGGTCGCGCTCCTCCATCAAAAGCGCGAGCAGCAGAAGAAGGATTAGTGGGAGGCTGAAGGTTTTCGGCCCCGGCTGATCCAAGCTCGCCTCGTGTCAAGGAGGAGGGAAGAGTAGAGGGAGGAGGGGATGCATGCGTCCGTGGAGACGCTCAAGCCATGAGGAACCGGGAGCCAGAGGGAGGTGGGGCAGCAGCAGGAGGAGGAAAGGCCAGGAGGGGGGGGGAGGAGATCCGCCGAGACCGATGGGCGTCGGGAGTCGGGCACGTCTCTTCGCAGAGCCCTCTCCAGAGCCCGCCTAGACAAGGGCGCCCTCGAGGGCGCCAAGTTTTTCGCGCTTCGCGGTCCTCGCTCCTTCTCCCCCTCCTCCTCGTCCTCCTTTTCTCGCTTTGGGGGGGGCGGCGCGAGAGCGCGAAGTTATTCGCGCTTCGCGCAGCGCGAAGCGCGAATTTGGGAGACCGCCTAGAGGGCGGCGCCCGCGCTGAAGGCCCCTGTTTGGGAGTTGAAGGCCCCTGTAGTTAAGTCGGGCACGTCTCTCTACAGGTGGAAGGTTCAAAAGTAGACAAAATATATAGTCCAGAGACGATTGTTCTATGGTGTTTGCATGCGTGTCTTCATCTTTGCTGCCGAAATCCGCCTGTGGGAGGACATGCCTGTCCTAACCCTAGGCCCCCCCCCCTCCTCCCTCTTCCCCCCGCCTTCCAACCCTGCTCCCTCCCTCCTCCTCCTCCCTCCCCTTCCCCTTCCCCCCGCCTTCCAACCCCCTCCCTCCCCCCTTCCTCTTCCCTCTTCCCCCCTCCTCCCTCCCTCCCTCCCTCCCTCCCTCCCTCCCTCCCTCCCTCCCTCCCCCCCTCCCCCCCCTCCCCCGCTCGAGCGGAACGTGCCCTGGGCCACGTCGCCTCCCCCAGGTCCTACCGTGCCCGTGGTGTTGGCTGTCCCGTGTCGGGCAGCCGCCCAGGGTGACGCGTCGGCTTGCCGACCAGGCCGCCCCAGCCTTCCCCTCGGCCTGCAAGCAGAGCAACCATCGACCCCACCCTTGATCGGGGGTGGACGGACCTCCTACCCTGACACGTCGGTCAGTGAGTTGACCGTTTTCGGTTCGCGAGAGGGCGCCGCGGCCGTCATTTTTGCGGGTTCCAGGTCCGTCGGTTTCGGTCCCAGGCCGTTTTCACTAAAGGGTGGTTCGCTAAAGGGAGGTTTGTCCACCGCCGACTTTACGTTTCTACTCCGCCCTCCACCCCCGCCCCTGCCTGTCTCGAGGGGTCCGGGCCATCTGCCTGTCTCTTTTTCACTCTGTCTTGGGGCTCGTGCCCCTGGGGCAAAAGGAGCCCGCCTGGCGGGCGTTCTGGGCTGTGCCGCCCATCGGGGGCGCACCCCACACTGGCCGCCGAGGTCGTGCACCCTGGCTTCCGAGGAGAGCCGAGACCGAACGAGCCTCCCCCCTCCCATAGGGGGCCACATGCGAACCCTACCCCTACCCCCCACGATTTCTGAGGGGGAGGGTGGGGTTCACTTCGTCCGGGAGCTCCCGAGCGAAGTGAACCCCACCCTCCCCCTCAGAAATCGTGGGGGGCAGGGGTAGGGTTCGCATGTGGCCCCCTACAGACTCCCACTCCCCCCTCCCACTCTCCCCCCAAAAACAGGGGGCAGAGCTCCGGGGCGCGCCTTCGGGGGGGGGGGGGCAGGGGGGGGGGGGGGGGGGCACCCGCCATATCCCGCTGCGCTGGCCCGCAGGCCTGCCGGGAGGTGGCCCCCCGAGGGCCTATAGGCCCCCTGCAGCACACGCAGCGCCCCCTTCCCCCCGGCGCCGGCGAAAGGCGTGAAGCTGACGAGCCCCCCGGCCCTCCCGGAGTGGGGCGACGAGTCCTGGCAGATCACGAAGGCGCCGGCGGCCAGCTGGCGGCGCACAGGGGGGGCGAGGGGGCGAGGGTTATGTCGGGCGTGTCCCCCTACAGGGGGAGTTTCTACGAAAAATAAAAGAGACCTCAAACATGCACCAAAAAGGCCAAAACATACTCAAAAAATAGTCCCCATATTATTTTTGATTTTTTTGTTAAGCATTCTTCAGGCGTGCGCCACATCCGCCGACCCCTTAAATGCGCTCGAGCAAAACATGTCTGACGCTGTTGAAAGAGCAGGCGGAAATGTCGGGTGCACAGAAGAAGCACAATTCATCGGGGGAGAGGCTCTGTCGGAAATGCGCGGAAGGGGCGAGATAACGAGGTGCGACGTGACGTGCGCGGCGTGCGGAGGAGCGTTCTCGGACACGAAACGTTTGCAGCAGCAACAGGTGGGGAATCATCAAAAGGCGACAGGAGCGGCGCATGCAAGAGAAGAGTACCGAAGTCGGAGAGGTCGTTTGGCGTCTCGGAACTCTCGTGGGCCGTCTTGGAGGCTTTTTGGGGCCTTCTTGGTCCATGTTTAGGCCCTCTTGACCCCGGAAAAGTCCCGCGATGCGCTCGTGGAGGTCCCTGGGGGGGTTATGGGGGGGGAGCTATCTCACACGTCTGGAGACCCATAAGGAGGTAGCGGATTTAAGCTCCCCCTTTTTCTCCTCCCCTTCCTCCCTTCTCCCTCCTTCCTCCTTCCTCGTCGTCCTCTCTCTCCTCCTGCTTCTCCTCCCCCTCCTCCCTCCTCTCTCCTTCTACCTTCTTCCTTATTTCTTCACCTTCTTCCTTATTTCTTCCTCCTTCCTCTTCGTCCTCCTCCCTTGTGTGAGTCGTTCGGGCCCCTCTTCTATGTCTTTTTTCCTCCTCGTCCTCCTTCTACTTATCGTCCTCCTTTCTTATGTTATTTCTTTCCCACCTTGTCTGTTTCCTTGTCTCGTCCTCCTGCTCCTTCTCCTCCTCCCCCGCCCCGTTCTTGGAAAATCTCGACAGCCAGAGGGGCCCGAACGACTCGCCTCCTGGTATGAGTCGTTCGGGCCCTTCTTCCTTTTCTTATCCTCCTCCTTTTCCGTCTCCTTTTTCTTGTCCCTCGTCTATTTATCTTCCTTTTCGTTCTCATAGTGTCCCTTGTTCTCCCTTTATTTATTGTCCTGCTTCTCCACCTTGTCTGTATCCTTGTCTTGTCCTTCTGGTCTTTCCCCGTCCTCCGCCCCGTTCTTTGAAAGTTTCGACAGCCAGAGGGGCCCGAACGACACACCCCCTGGCATGAGTCGTTCGGGCCCCTCTTCCTTTTGCTTCTCCTCCTCCTCCTCCTCCTCCTTTTCCTTCTCATCCTTTGTGTTCGTCGTCTTCTTCTTTTCCTTTCGTTCTCCTCATGTTCCTTATTCTACCTCTTTCTTATGTTCCTGCTTCTCCGCCTTGTCTTGTTCCTTGTCTCGTCGTTTTGCTCTTTCTCCTCCTCCTCCGCCCCGTTCTTTGAAAACCTCGGCAGTCACAGGAGCCCGAACGACACGCCTTTTTGTGTGAGTCGTTCGGGTCCCTCCTCCTTTTTTTTCCTGCTCCTCCTCCCCCTACTTATCGTCCTCCTTTCTTATATCGCTGCTTCTCCACCTTGTCTGTTTCCTTGTCTCGTCCTCCTGCTCCTTCTCCTTCTCTTCCGCCCCCGTTCTTGGAAAATCTCGACAGCCAGAGGGGCCTGAACGACACACACCAGGAGGTGAGTCGTTCGGGCCCTTCTTTCTTTTCCTTCTCCTCCTCCTCCTCCTCCTCCTTCTGCTCCATATCGTCCTTCTTTCTGAGGCTCTTGCTTCTCCGCCTTGTCTGTTTCCGTGTCTCGTTCTGCTGCTCCTTCTCCTCCTCCTCCGGCCTGTTCTGTGAAAATCTGGACAGCCCGAGGGGCCCGAACGACTCACCTCCTGGTGTGAGTCGTTCGGGTCCCTCTTCCTTTTCCTTCTCTGCGTCCTCCTTCTCATCACCCTCCAGTCTTTTTCGGTTGCTTCTCAGCCTTGTCTGTTTCCTTGTCTCGTCTTCCCGCTACTTTTCCTACTCGTCCGCCTCCTCCTTCCCCATCCTCCCCCCCCCCACCCCACCCCCGCTCTTTCTTGTGTCCTCCCCCTTCTCCTCCTCCTTTTGCTCCTCCTCCCCCTCCTCCTTCCGTCCTCCTCCTTCTCTGTATCGTCCTCCTTGCTTATGTTCCTGCTCCTCCACCTTGATTGTTTCATTGTCGCGTCCTCCTGCTCCTTCTTCTCCTCCTCCGCTCCGTTCGTTGAAAATCTCGCCAGCCAGAGGGGCCCGAACGACTCACCTTCTGGTGTGAGTCGTTCTGGCCCCTTTTCCTTTTCCTTCTTCTCCTCTTTTTCTTATCGCCCTTCTTACTCATGTGCCTGCTTCTCCACCTTGTCTGTTTCCTTGTATCCTGCTCTTGCTCCTTCTCCTCCTCCTCCGCTCCGCTCTTTGCAAATCTCGACAGCCGGGGGGGCCCGAACGACTCACCTCCTGGTGTGAGTCGTTCGGGCCCCCCTTTCTTATCCTTTTCCGCTTCCTCCTTATTCGTGTCGTTCTCCTTTTTTTATGTTTGATTCTCCACCGTGTATGTTTCCTTGTCTCGGCCTCCTGCTCCTTTTTCGCCTCCTCCGCCTCGTTATTTGAAAATCAGGGCAGCCAGAGGGGCCCGAACGATTCACCTTCTGGTGTGAGTCGTTCGGGCCCCTCTTCCTTTTCCTTCTCCTCCTCTTCCTTCTCCTTATCGGAGTTCTGGTGTTACCCGCACGAATGACGGCACGGCTTTTGTATGAGGATACTTTTATCACGGGGGTGACGCTTCAACTGTCGAACTCAAGAATGTAGCACATGCAATGTCAGGGGCGGCCAAACCGACCCCTACCAAACCATATCCTTTTTTCAAAGAAGGCGGAAGTGCGCAAACACAGGGAGCGAATGAGATCCTTCCTGCGAGCGTCGCTCTCGCAAGACCGGGCCGCGGCCCCAGGGGCATGCGGAGAGACAACTAAATCGAGACGTTTTGGAAACCACTGCACCAGTCAAGCGCTTCGGGGACGAACATAAACGAAAGCACCAGCGCGGGCAGAAGTCGCGACGACGGGCCGGCAGAAAGAACGACGCAAGATAAGGAGCACGGCCCAAGGACAGTCATCGGGGAACGTCAACGGCGCATGAAATCCACGCGCTGCCTTCGAATGGCGTGACCAACGGTGGCCGGCCTGAGCGACGCGTCTGCGCTGGCACGGGCGTTTATCATTCAAAATGTCATGCCTCGGCCCTGCGCTGCGTAGCGCAACTCTTTCTTAATGCGAATCAGAGCTCCAAGGTGCGCACATGATGTCGGTGAGCCGAAACGCGCACTGAACCTGGGCGGCTAGGAAAAAAAACGCAACCACCCCCAAAACGAACATATCCCAACGAAGCAGTCGCATGCTTTGCGCGCGGTGAAGTACGACCGCCAGGGTTTGAACAGTCTTATGACATACCTGGCAAACCTTGAACGATTTCTCAAAAGTGATCGGCACACTCACGACACCAGAATTACAAATAAATCGTTTCGCTACTTCGGGAATTTGACAAAGGAACACCACGCCTTTTGTATATGGACGAGCAAGTGAAACGTCACCCACCCTGACGTACGCATACGCGTGCAGGGATGGCGAATCGAGCCAATGATGGCCCAAAGAGACGGTCCCCCTGTGGAGGGGTTTTGACAACGCGTGCCCGCTACATATCAGGAGCCTCGAAAGTGCACAAACAGACATATCATAGGATCCACACTTGGCTCTATCACAGAGCGCCCATGTCTCCGTTGGCAAATATGGCTCCGGTGCCGAGCCAGGCGCATGAGTACGCACGTGCTGCACGACCAGGCTCACGCGCCCCATGAAAGACTGCGGACGTTTCAAGGCACTGGCCACGCATCCCCACAGACGCAACACAGTACGTTGCACATATTGAGGCAATGAGTTGGAAATACTGGGAACCAATAGTATGCCTGGGTGCAACATGCCAGCACATGCCGCACAAACCACGCGTGTAACCCCCATCCCTCCATTTCCGCCTGATATCCCGTCCACATATTTTATATATCCTTCCCTCCCCTGCCGCCCCCGTTCGTCCCCCCCCTCCCCACCCTCTCTCAACTTCCCCCTCCTCCGCCCCCCTCCTCCTCGACCCCTGGCCCAGCTCGCCCTCGCGGCGGAGTGCATTGCGCAGCGCGTCGCCAGGCGAGGGAACAAAGGGAGGGAGGGGGGATGGAGGGGGGAGGGGGGAGGGGAGAGAAGGGGGGGAAGGGAGACAGGGCGAAAGACGCATGCAGGGAGGGGGGCGCGGGCGAGGAGCTAGAGGAGGCAGGAGAGATACGGGGGGGGCGGGGGAGGGAAGGAATGTCGGAGGCAGGGAAGGAGAGGAAGAAACGAGGGCAAGGGCGATGCGGGCGAGGGGAGCTAATGCGAGGGGGGAGGGATGGGAGGGAAGGGGCACTAGGGAGGGAGGGGGCGAGGAAAAGCGAGGAAAGCGGGGGGAGGAAAAGAGGGCAAGGAGGAGAGACAGAGAAGGTGGGGATGTTGTGAGGACAGCGGAGAAGTGGACATAATGGAAAGAGGGAGATGGCGAGAGGCCAAAGTGAAGAGCAAGGGAAGAGTGGCGAGGGGACGGCGAGGGAGGGAGAGACACGAAGGAGCAAGGAAGGAGGAGAGGATGGCGGCGGAGTAACGGGGAGAAGATCGGGAAAGACCAGCCGGCCTGGACCCCCGCGGCACCTGCGACAAAACCTTGCCCTCCGCCCCCCAGCGAGGCCCAAACTGCACTCGCGCGGCTTGCGGGGGCCGCGCGACTGTCTTTTGGGGCTCGCCCGGGGCGGATCCCCGAATGAAAATTTCGAAAGTGTGGACCCGGAGCTCGTCGCGGTAGGGTATCATTTGGGCGCGCCCCAAACCGGGGGCTTCCGTGACGACCCCCCCGGGGCCCCCGCCCGTCTGTCTTGTTTCCC